GTGTTCAAACTGATATGAGGTGCAGGGGAAGGGGAGGAACAACTTAATAACCAGCTCCCTGCTCATTCATCCTTATAAGAAGCCTGCCGATTAACACGGTGAGTCCACGTGCCCAGCTGCTGGCCAGACATTCCATTCAGGAAGAAAACTTGTGGAGGACATGGGCACAATGACATAGGGGTCCATCCTGCTACCAGTCTGTCATTCTTAAATTAAACCAAGAACAAAGTAACAGTACTCGTTTATAAGTATAGATGGTGTCTCTTTCCATACAAGGAAGCCCAGAGCCATCAACTATGAATCATCAAAGTCATTTATAGCTGGACCCAAAGTGATGGCAGAATGTCATGCTCTGTGGCCCAGTGTGGGAATGTAGCATTTTGAGGCTGACCAAAGGAACAAAGAGCATAGTGTACTGGCTCCTTTGTTACTACTCTCAAAGACTCTTGAGTGTTGGCTTTGAGTAATAATTCTTTACATACATTTAGATTTTTTTTCTGTTACGTGCTTTACCCTACATTATTTCAATTCTTCCAGATTGGTAGGACTAATTTTATAAACATCATTAAATGTAAAAAGAAATTAAAAATTTAAATATAATAATGACAATGCCTATCATTTATTGAACACAGACCATGTGACAAGGGAGGTCCATGTGAGCAGTAGACACTAGGGCGATACACTAGAGCCCCTTTCCAGGCAGTGCACCCGGTCCCCAGCCGCAGCGAGTCCTGGCTACTCTTGGCTCACAGTTGCCCTCTTCCCCAGAAAACTGATCGATGCCAATAAAAGTCCCCCTTCTCTGCTAGGCTGTGGCCCTGTTCCAACGGCGGCCTTGTCCTGGAGCACAGGAGTCAGCTGCCTGGCCGCCATGACTCAAGATGGGAGGGGTCAGTTCTGGGTGCATCTCACGTCCACATCACCCCATGGTCAGGCTGGACCAAGAGCCCAGCAGGGCCACATCCATTCTTAGTCTTTTGCTTTTCATCCTAACCTGCTTTTCTCAAAAAACGATGGGCACAGGGAGCCCCAATCTAGGATTTACTTTTAAGGAACTCAACCTAAGACTACATGCTACCTCACTTAATCCTCAACCAATCCTGAAATGTGTACAGTAGTACAGCCTAAAATCAAATGTCTCATTAACAACATGAAGAGACTCAAGCCAGCACCACAAAGCAGGCTCTTCCCAGTGCGTCACGGCTGCCAGAAGGCGCGCGAGAAAAGTGGAACTAGAATTTTAGTATCTTGATTCCAGCAAAACTTCATGGTCTGTCTCACTGCCTTTCAAATATCTTTTCTATGATTTGGAAATTTTTTTGTAGTTGTAAGTCTGTAGAATGAGAATCTGAGGCAAATTCTGATTAGATTGCATCCTTTTAGTCAATGACTATGTGAACAAAACTGAATAAAAATCTTAAATCTTCTCTTATGGTAGCTCACAGAGAAAAAAATGTGACAATGAGTATATATATGTTCACGTATAACTGAAAAATTGTGCTCTACACTGCACTTTGACACATTGTAAAATTATTATACATCAATAAAAAATGTTTAAAAAACTTAATTCCTCCTTTCCAAGCTTTCCCACTCTTTGGATGACATAAACAATATCAAGTCTAACACACCATAATTTCAACTTTACCATGAATGTGACATTTAGTTTCTTTGCCTGTAATTCAATTTTATACCTATTATAGGGCCATAATTCCATCAGGCCACAAACTTTTTCCTGGACTCAGAGTTACCATATTAAAGTATTTGGTCACATATAAAAGCATCATAAAACCAATCCCACTGAGTAAAATTGTGTATAAAACTAGAATACAAAGAGAAGACCGGAAAATATTTCAAACTGTCATTTGGACCAATACTATGTCTTTGATTTCCCTTCAGGATCCATTATTTTCAGAACTATGAGAATACTTCCCTACTCAATTAAACCTCCCATACTATTACTCTTAATTCCCATCTGCACTGAGGAAACAGAGAGAACTTCTCTGCCTGCAGCCTAAGCTCTGCATCAGGCACTGTGGGGCCCCAGCAGGTTTGTGCACGGGCCGCAGGTGCCGGGGGAGCGCTGTGCGCTCTCTGCACAGAGGTAGGCGGCTGAGTCGCTGGGCTGAGAGTCTCTGATGAGCAGGGAGACATAGTGGCTGGTTTTATTGACCTGCGCTGTAAATCTTCCTTCTTTTGTCTCATTATTGGAGTAAAAGGTCATCAACCACTCAGGGCCTCTCCCCGAATACTGTCTGTACCACATGAAGTACTGAAAATCACTGACACTGTAAGAGCAGGTGAGAGAGGCGGTGGCTCCCTCTGGAACATTCAGGCTCTGCGCTGCTCCCTTCTGTTGGCTCCTCATCCCTGTGCAGAGAGACAGCGAATGGCCAGTCAGAGAAGATATTTAATCTCCAGACTCTAAGTTATCTTTCCACAGGACTCCCACCTCTATCCTCCCTTACTTAAGGGAAAAAACACTCATGTTTCTATCCACGGGCCTAGAAAAGCTCATGACTGCAAACACCAAGCTTTATGTTCCCGTAGAAACGCCCCAGACTCACAGGTCAGCTGAAGCCACAGGGTCACTAGAAACCTCTTGAGGATTTCAGCATTCTCTCCTCTTCTATTCACCGAGGATTCAAATTTTAGACTCTTAAAAAAATGAGTCCAACTCAGACATTTCTAATTCCTCTGCTTTAGAAATCATAAAAAGCATCTGTTCTACCAATGGGAACATCCATCCTGCTACACCACCAAGCCCCTCCTCTCCTCTCTAGCTCTCTCTCTCTCTCTCTCTCACACACACACACAAACACACACACACACACACACACACACACACACACACAGGGTCCCTGAGAAGACACTGCCATATTGTGGACTCAAGAGAGTGATTAAAGAAATATTCAAAGATAGAGCCTTATGTGAGCTGATGAAAGTAAAAATCTGCCACTTCAGTTAAATTGAAAATTTGAGAAGCACCTTGTCCAAGTCAATGTGTGTGGGGAGAGGGTGATGTGTGTGTGCATATGTTTTACATCAAACGTCAATGCTTGTCTGAGCAAAAGCGGTTATATCTAACGACCAAGTTCCCACACTGAAAACTTAGTAGAGGTCTGGATGAAGCTCTTAAGGTTTTGGTTTTTTGCCTTTTGGTGCCTTGCGATTCTTTTCTGACGGCCAGGCACGATGTGCTGAGGGGAAGGAACTGCTGGAGGAAGCCTTTAGTAAGGCGGAGGTGAGGTGCGGGGGCGGCAAGTGCTCCAGGGTCCTGAGATCAGGTCTCAGCCTTTCGCTGAGCCTCTGCCTCTGGACTGAGAACCTCCCAAGTATTTATCTGCCTTTTTCCTCTCCCCATGGGAGGGACAGGAGGGCTAGAAGTGGCCGGAGTTGGGTGTTTTGCTTCCCTGGGGTCACTTAGGCTACAGTGAGAACCCCAGCAGGCTGGGTTGTGGTTCCCTAGCGTCCTTCCTGGGGGAGGCCGCGTTAAGGACTGTGTTCTGGTGCGTTTCAGTATAGCTTCCCCTCCTCCATCGTCCAGAAGCTTTAGGGGTTTTTCCCTAATACTTACTGTGGACACCTGTTTGGACTCCTGGGGGTCAAGCTCATAGCGCTGTGTCTCCCTCTGTGGCTGCTTTTCACTCTCAGGCTTGTCCACACTGAGCCCCCAGCGACTCACCAGTACCATCCGGGTGGTGCTGCTCCAGCACCGGCTCCTGCTGCGTCTCCTGCTCTGAGTCTCTGCTCTGATGAGCTGCCGCCCTCTGGGCTCGCTATCTGTCTCTCCAGTCGTAGGGGCAGCAGTTTGTCCTTTGCCCTCCCCTCTCCGGATCCAAGGAGAGTTGTTGATTTTTCAATCTGCCCTGCTTTTTGCTTGTTGCTAAGACAGGTGGTGGTTTCAAAGTTGCTGACATGCAGAGTGAGAAACCAGAAGTCCCCAAGGTTTGCTTTTTAAGTAATCTTTGTTTTGACTTTATAAGCAGAGACTGCAAACTATACAGAATTAGAAATAGAGACAAGGAAAGGAACAAAAAAACCCACATTTCTGCCACCTGGACCTGAACATTTTTAATTCCTTAGTATATATCCTTCCTGTTTTTCTCAATTGATAGATGCCTTTCAGATAAATATTTATCTCACC